AGACCACCAGAGGCATATAGTTTTGCAATGAAAACCTCAGGGTGTGAACTCTTTGAAGTTTCTGGCAGGTGGAGAAACAACACGAGGTGTGTGCCTATGCTGACTGCCAGCAACTGGATCCCAGCTCTTCACCTGCCAATGGGATTAATGCACGAGAGAGGTCCCCCCTCATCTCCAGCTTCCATCTTCTTCCCCTGGAGTTCATCTGTGGCATAATATCCATTTGCAACTGCACTCATCGTCCGTCTGCGGGCCCCAAGCTCTAAATAGAACAGACTCAGATAGTTTGTCTCCCTGCACTGTACAGTCTTTCACTATTGGTGGAGGAACATGCTGTTCAGCAACAAGTTCAAAGATCTGCTGCTGGTTTGCCTTTAATCTTCTGTTTTGCTTTTGGAATATGCAATCAAAAAACTGGAAGTGTTTTTCCTGGCTTAGGATCCTTAACATGATCATGCTGTCCATCTTTTTGTATGTTTCCATGGTATTTAATTGCACTAATGGATGCTCATGTTGTAATCCTTTGGTCACAGACTCTGGTGCCTCCTTTTTCTGAGCTCTGTCCCTAGAGGATCACAGAATTACAGAATATTCTGAGTTGGAAGAGTGTTCCCCTGCTGTGGCGCAGACCTGTAGCTCTGGGACTTTGCCCTGTAATTGAAGCTGTAAATTTCTGAGTCCTCTGTTCAAGGCACAAAGTCAGTCAAGAGGCAAGGAGAACTTCTCCGAGGGGGTGAATGACACTGGAATCGCATTTAGAAACTGGGTACAAAACCTCTGATGTCTAGAAGGAGTGGTAACTATGGATTGTGTGGTTCCTTGTTCTAGTTTACATAAGCAATTAGCTAATTTTAGCTCTCAGTTCTGGCAAATCTGTGGGAAATAACACCAGGAATAAATGTGTTTATTTTTTTTAAAGCAAAGTCTTCTCAAACTCCTAGTGAGGTGCACCTAGGATTAGCTGCCACACAGAGAGATTAGGAGAGCATCCATCTGCTTCCAGCCAAAACCAGTTGCCCTTTAACATCCAGCTTCCTAATCCCACCTAAGTGCCCTCTACGCTCCTCCACATGGTGTTTGCCTACCCCAAAACCACAGCTCAGTACAGAGCCATTCTATGGGTGAAGACACAATTCTCCCTGCATTCCCCAGATCTGGGGGGAGTCTGTCCCCCCACGAGTGCTGATGGCTCCAGCCAGCCAGGTGGCATGGCCGTCCCAGCCATGCTGCTGGCACACAGCCCTCCCCATCCATCCCCATGCCACAGGGGGCTGCCTTACCTTTATCCCCATTAATAGGCACAGCAGTAGCTGTGTGTGGTGGATACAGCCTTGTACGTTTGAACATGTGAGCAGAGCTGATGAACTCTGCTTCAAAACATGGATTAAGGGCATGTTTCTTCTCCCCAAGAGCTGCCGTTCTGTGGCATTTGTTCTATAAACCTAGATAAAAATCTTGTCCATACTTTTCAAGTTTGTATTTACAAAGGGTTGAAAAATATGCATAATGACAGTTTAATTAATGTATTCCATTAATCCTGGAGATAATCAAAACCCTGATAAGCCTCTAATCTTATAAAAAAGGATTAGAAAGCACTGAAACATCTTTTGCTGTCTGTGAACCTTGTAATGAGATGTTGCATGCTTGGAGGAGGAGCCAAGGAAAGGAGCAGTGCCAGAGGACATATTCTCAGCAGATTTCGTCACTGGATTTCTTGTGTGATATTGCTCTTGGCAGAAAGGTTGTAACTGGAGTCCAAAGCCATCAACACTATTTTCAAAATTTGTCCTCCTATCAATGTATAAAGTTATTCTAATAATTTGTGGATAAAAAGTAGGAGAGCTTTAGCTTCTCTAACGTCTTCTTCTAAGTATCATGCATTTAAAGTACTAATTTGATTTTAATGCTTGCAGACCTTACTAATTTCTTCAAAGTTAATCCTGCATGTGTGAAAATCATGCTAGTATTCTGGCATGTAACCATTGCCGGAATATCTATTTTTCAAGAATAAAAAATGAGTATAAGCAAATATTTCAAAGGCGTTTAAAAAAGCAATAATACAGCCAACTTCAGAGAACTATTTTTTGACGTCTGTAAAAATTCTTGTTTCAGTGCTATCTATAGCTTTACCCTTTTACGCTTAAGTGTGGTTTATGTGTTCTCAGTTATTACCAATAAGTGTCAATGAAACAACTTTGAAGGATATGGTGACTAACAGACATTGTCAAGAATTCAAGGTGCTCAAAAAAAAGTGAAAAAGTGCTCATTCTTTAAAACTTGAATTCAGAGCAAAAACATAATGCACAGGGCAAAATGCCCTAATAACTGCTGCTCCTGCAGGGACCTGGGAACCAGCTGGAGCTGGTGGGAAGCATGTTGGGAAGGAATAATAACAAGTATTGCTTCTCTTCCTCTCCAGAGACCCAAGGAAAACTGAAATTTGTCCCTTGGAAAGGAGACTGGGGCAGCAGTCTGCTCAGGGGGGGAGAGTTAAGGCTGGGTGAGAATTTTTGTCTGGCTCCCAAAAGAAACTGAACCAATAAAGGACCCAGAGCACGACTGGGTTAAATAAACCCCAAGAGGACTGGGGATGAAATCCTGGCAGGCAGGCAGGAGGAGAGCAAAGAAAATGAGAATATTTGTGTCAGGGTTGGAAATTCGGGTTTTTTTGTTTGAGGGGGTTTTTCAGTTTGTTTTGTTTGTTTAAGGGAGGACTACTGCACAGTACAAGAAGCACTAAGAAGCATGTGATGCCCCAGCCACAGGTTGGCTAGCAGCTGCATTGCTTAGTTATGCCTGTGCAAGCATGAACATCACAAGTCCCTTGAGTGGAGGGGACTTTGGGCAAGTGGAGTGGGGAAGGGGACAGAGGTGAGGTGAGGCAGTCAAGGTGCTGCAGGCCCTGTCTGTGCTCTGCTACAGGCAGAAGTGTGGGCTGTCAAGGGGTCATTGCAGCAGCAAGGGAAAACATGCTTGGCCCTAGAGATGTCTGCCCAGGGCAGCTGCCAGAGAGGGAGCACCCCAAGGTGATTTCATTCAGATCTCTCCTACCACACATGAACCACTTTTGGTAAACACTTGCAGTAGAGTTGACTCCCAATGCACTGAGACTGAAAGTCTTCAAGACCAAAGAAGTGTTCAAGACCCCAAAGATGGGGAGAACTTTTTTGCTTGTCTGAGAAGTTCTGCTATCCACTGGTCTAAGGGCAGCTGGGAGAGGGTGCAGTGAATTACCCCATGAGACACAGGAAACTGCAACAATGCCTCTGCAGGTTGAGGACAGGGATAAGGTGCTGCTATCAAACCAGCCATGAATGTAGGTAAATCAGACAAGAAATTTTTCGATCCTTCTCCAGAAAATAAATTTTTGAAAACAGGAGATGACCTTGGGTAAACTTATGAAACAGAAAGACAGGTCGAGGAGGTAAAGCAAAGGAGAACTTCTGCACATTTTCCTCATCTTCAGATAAAGCTGTGTGGCTATACACAAGTACAACAACTCCTGAACTTTGGCTCCTTTATTTATAAAACAATATACTAATCTTAATCCCAGGACACACTGACGTAACTGAATGTCATACTTTCCAAATAGAATGGATTGCATTCCCATGATAAAATAAATACATTCCAGCAGTGAGCCCCACAGCAAATAACAGAGCTCCAACAGCTGGAGAAGCTGGGGCAAGAGGTACAACAATTGAGTTGTGTTGTTGAAGCCCAAAAGCAAAGTTTTTGCTGGCAGCATTCTAGGAAAAGCTATTATAAATGCAATGCTACCAAAAAAGTGCTCTTTTCTTTCTAACTCTATGCTGCATGCAAAAGCTGTTAAAAAATCTTAGGTAAGCAAATACACTCTTTTCCATATGACCTTCTCTTTGATGTTTTCAAAAATAGATTGTCTTTTTAGTTTAACACAATATTTGTCAGCTTTTATTTATAGTTTAAAAGAAAGACCTCCCGCGAACTGTCACCAAAAACGCCCTTCTAAAGGCATGCTGTCAGGAGAAAGGCTTTCCTTTCCTGAGTGCCATCCTGTGCTCAAGTACATTTTACTGTAACTAAGATAGAAATGCCTCCAGCAATCATTGCATCTTCAATCAGCTGGACACATCACTTGCCTAAGAGCCATTTTTAATCTGTATTACATGAAAATGAGGGTTAAATACAACAGATAACCAAGCAGCAATGGTTTGCTGTCATGTACGCTCTCTTTTTTTTAATTTATTTTATAAAATAAGCAGGCACTAAAAACTTTAAAGAACATTTTTATTCTTAACTAATGTGTAGGGGGCAAGAGCAATATTTGCAGCAGTATGATACAACAGCATATTACCCAAGTCTACATGACTTGGCATGGTTTGTTTTTTTAACTTGGAAACTGTAATGAAAGGCCATGGCACTTTACAAGCTGGTTCTACTCTGTGGGTATCAAAAATGAAAAACTGAAATGTCACATAGTTAGTACAAATTCAGCATAATGTAAGCAGGCATGACCCAGGACAGATTACAGATTGCAATATGTTTAGGACCTCCTTTGCTGAGAGTTAGAGAGATTCCTATCATTTACGGGACATCTTCAAAGGCAGCGCAGGACTTTATTCCCTTATCTGCTATTCAGTGACTTACTGAGATGGAAAGAGACAAGTATGTGCAGGTCAATAAAATGTAGTCCTCTGTAAAGTCCATATTTACTTCAGCTGTCAAACAAAGAAGGATTGTCCCATGTTTTGATCCTTGCAGGAGCTCAGCATTTAGTGTTAACACTTCAGTCAAAGCTGATATGCTTATAGTGGCTGCTGCTGAAGACTATGTATGTTTTTTGTTTTGTGACTGAATAGTATGACATACAAAAGTGAGGCCAAACCCCTGGGAGTCTGCTTTAACATGTTTTTATCCTCAGTTTGTGATAGTAGACTTCTGGGCTTTGGAAGCTGCAAAGTTCACTTACTCACAACCCAAAGGGCATTTTTGCCACATTTTGTCACTTGATGAAACAGTCTTTAAGTCAGTTTGTTGAGTTCAGCACTATCTGTTGCATCTTTGTGATGGCTCTTTTCATTTTTCTGTTTGTATTTTATGTGGAAAAATGCACCCCCTAAAATGGCACCTGAAAAACAGAGAGCATTCATCAGTAAAGGGAAGAGAAAACTTTCTAAAAAGATGTTTCAGCAAGGGCCCTGACATCTACACTGTAATATCCATGGTGCTTTACCTCTTGAATAGAAACAAACAGCTTTGGGGAATGACCATGAAGCCTTGGACCAATAGCATGGACCCAAGGAGCTGGTGGGCAGGATCAACTGCCCTGGGGCTCAGAGGCCTTCCCCCAGAGAAGAACTTCACCTCTAGGATCTGATCAGATGGCAAAGTGTCTATTTTGGCCTTCCTCCCTTTGAGCAGGGATTTGTCATGTTTGTCATGATAGATGACTGTCCCACTCTAGCAGCGTTGGTGCAGCCACACCTTGAGCACAATGTGCTGTTCTGGGCCTCACACTTGAAGAAGGATGTTAAGGAACGGGAATGTGCCCAGAGAACAGAAACAAAGCTGGTGAAAGAACTGGAAGGAATGTCCTAGGAGAAGTGGCTGAGGACTTTGGGCTTGTCTAGTTTGGAGAAAAGAAGGTTGTAAGGTGACCTCACTGCTCTCTAGAGCTCCATGAGGAGTGGGAAGAGAGGTGCTGAGCTCTTCTCCCTGGTATCCAGGGATAGGACATGTGGGAATGGTTTGAAGCTGCACCACGGGAGGTTTGGATTGGACATTAGGAAGCATTTTTTTACTGAGAGAGTGGTCAAACACTAGAAAAGGCTTCCTAGAGAGGTGTTCGATGCCCCAAACCTGTCAACATTTAAGAGGCAATTGGACAATGCCCTTAAAAATATGCTTTAACTTTTGGTCAGCCCTGAAACGGTCAGGCAATGGGACTAGATGATCATTGTAGGTCCCTTCTAACTGAAATATTCTATTCTATCCTAATACTAAAAAATATTTTGTCTTGTTTTGAAAAAAGTTTTAAGCTACTTGTTGAAGTTGCATCAGCTCGAGCCTGTAAGAACATAATACCATTCAGTACTGCTTAATAATGTAACTATACTTTGTTCATGTAAATTCCCACAGTTCAGAGTAACTCTCCATATGAATAAGGTAAACCTACAAAGCTGAAATAAATGAATAAAATCATAACTATAAGCTATGGGTACAGATATTTTAAGTGTGACATCCCTGGAAACTTCAATATTGTCACTATAATCTGGGTGCCCAAGACAAGGCTCCAATCCCTTCCTTGACAAAGAAAAGGCAGTAGGTAACAATGAAGTGACAATATGCTACAAGTGCAGCCGTTTCTTCTGTCCTAGCTGATTGCTATGCCACTGTATGTTGATTAAAAAGCACAAAGTAAAGAAAGCTTTTCTTGAGACCAAACACTTAAGTTTTCAGCAATCATGGTACACAATCATGAGATCTCCCCTCTTTCATCCTGCAGCATTCATGACAAAATTTCATCCAACAAGTGAATTAGTGTCAGAAATGCAGCAGCACCACCATATCTCAGAGATCTGGCTTCAAATCAGCCAAGAAAAGTGACTTACCAATGATGAGCAGGACAGCAATTAGAATCCCAATTGCCTGCCCAGCGGTTGGCAAGGAGTGCTGACGCTCTACTTCAATAAAGCACGACTTTTCACTTGAACACTTGCAGATGTTTACTGCAAAAAGAAATGCCATAAGGTTAATGAGAAGTTTAGTAGTTACATTTGGTTAGTCATAAATATACCTGCTGTCTTGAAACTAGTAGTTCTGTGTACAGTATACCTTTAAGATGCACCTTGTTTTCCAAAGCTGGCTTTCCATTGTCATTAAGTATTATTGGAACGTTATAAATCTTCTCTTCAAAGTTAGGATGTTTTGGAGAGAGGTAAGCATGAGTAGCTGTAAGTAGGAAATGGGACATTCATGTCAGCAAAAGAAAGAAATTTATCTCAACATTCATACCAGTTGCAAATGTGCTTTTTTTAAGGTTGCTTTGCATGTGATGGTAGTTCCTGTTTTTTCCCTGTCTTCCAAGGTCTCATTGGCTTGCAGACATGAATTAAAAAGGGATTATCCAAAAGCCTAGTCTGGCCTCCAGCATAATACAATCATAAAATTTCCTTCCTGATTTCTACACCGACCCAAATCTGACATTGGGTAGTGCAACACTGATAGCATCACATCTAAACCAAGAATAGCCCTCTATACTCATAGAGACCAATACCATTTTAAATTGTTCACAAAGTAATTTAGTAGGATGGGCCATCCTTCTAGTCCACTTACACAGTTGCATCTGAGACACTTTAAAATTTGGAAAAGCCTATAACAGCCACTGAGATCGGATCAAAGTTCTACTAATGTCAGGATCATGTTTTTAGATCAAGTGGAGATTGTGAGCATATATTTTATTTTTTCCTTCAACAATTTTCAGCTCAGGGGCTTCTTGAGCAAGATGTAATTTCTTGCTTTGAACTTGTAGAAAATTTAGATAACATCCTGTGACAGCAAGTTCCAAAGTCAATTAGCTCCTCATTCTATCTGCACGGGAAATAACTCCACAAGCTTCATTTAAGGTCCCTAGGTTTGTATACTGGAAGAGAGGGCAAAGAATGAACCTTTGGCCACCCCGACCATAGCATTCATGATTTTATAACTCTCTATCGTATTTTTTCCCTACTGTCTTCCAAGATAAAAGGTAGTAGCTTACTTTGCTGCTCCTATGCACTTTCTTATATCAGGCTACTCTATAACTCTCATTATCCTTGTTACCCTAAACCTGTTTCCAGTTATACTGCATCTTTGTGGAGATAGAGACTGGAATTCAATATTTGAACAAATCATGGATTTATACAAGGGCATAATGGTGTTCTCTGGTTATCTTCTCTGGTTCTTTCCTAGTAATTCTCAATATTTGATCTGCTTTTCTGAACACTGCTGATAAATTGATCTCACGTTTCCGTGAAACTGCTTACAGGTCGCCTTCCTGACTCATAATGGCCAGCTCAGCACCCATGATTTCAAAAGCGAGTTTGTGAGTCCAGGGTCCATTAGCATCTGCTATGCTGTTGTTCAGCCAACTCAGTCTTGCTAGAATGTTCTGAAATTCTTCACACTTGGTTCCTACTCCAATAACTTTGTATAATGAGTAAATTTTGGCTTCTCATAGCATACCTATATGTATTGAATTATGCAGATCCTAGCAAAAAAACCTTTGGAAAACCACACATGAATTCCCTTCACTGCAAGAGCTGACCATTTACTCCAACTCCTGAATTTTAAATTATTATTTACCCTTTCATAACTTGTCCCTTTAACACCGTGGCAACCCAATTTTCTCTAGTGGGACACTTCATCAAACACATTTTATGAATTCAGACAGGCTCTATCAGCCAAGCACTTATCCTTGCGTTTATTGCCCCCTTCAAAGTGTTCCATTCGGTTTGTGAGGCACGACTTTGTTTTGCACAGGAAATGTCAGAAATGTACAGTTTGCAAACTGCTCTGTTTCTTTTTCATCAATGATGTGTAGTCCTTAAGCACATAGTACATGTCATTCTTACCTGCTTCTCCTCTCACAAGTAATCATGAGATTTTAGCTTGCAACATACTACATGTCATCTCTTGAAAAAAATAATTAATGACTTAGGTGTTCTCAACAACCTAATTTTTTTTCTGCATGGAATACTGGATATGCAATAACAGGAGTGAAAAGGAATTAAATATTTCTTTATATTTCCCAGAGTACTAAGAGAGTCCCATATCATTGTAAGAGTAGCTGTATTAGCTTACCATTGACTTTTGAGATTTCCCAATTATTTCTTGTATTAACATCATCCGGAAGGGAAAACGTAAATTTTGAATAAAACCACTGTTCATCAGCATCAGTAGCTTGAATCAGAGTTCTCTCTCCTCCCCTGACCGGGTAGCAGAAGAAAGCAGGATTATCCTTAACTAAATATGGAAGGTTGTCATTCACATCCTGTAAGTGGAGAATCAAGGATGTTCTGGATTTCTGAGCTGCGTTATCTGTAGAGTTTAACAGAATGCAAAGTTACATGGACATCTTGAATTCACATGCTGGGTTGTTGCATTTGCAGCTATTCTAGAGGTACCAATAACTATCAACATGTCCAGAGGACAGAAACAAAGCTGGTGAAAGAGCTGGAAGGAAGTGAAGAGTGTCATTGTGCCTGAAGGTTGCAGTGGCAAGGTCTCAGGAGGACCTGAGGAATTCATGGTAGTTGCCACTACTTTTTAACAAGTATGGTTTATTTATCACCAGCTCTTGCTTACTTCAGAGCACTAGCAAGGGTAAGGAGGCAGACAGACCATCATATCTAGTAAGTGATCATATCCAAGGTGACCAGTGCTCTTTGGAGCTCTTTTAAGCATGAAACTCCTTAAGTTTCGCACCTCTCTTCTGTATACAGGAAATACAAGTCAATACTGAAAGATTCTAATGGCTGGGATTAGAAGCCCTAATATATTTCAGAGTTGATAGCATATTAGTTTTATTCATAATAGAATGAAATTCTGTACAAGGCTGCAGACTACTCTCCAGGTATGTTTTCAGGAAGCCTAAAGATATCTGTATGAAAGACTAAAATCTTTACAGCTATAGAGGAAAAAGTGGCAGAAAATGTTGAAGCTGAAAACACCGAGGAAATTCTAACCCTCTTTATATGTCATGTGGCTCAAGTAAATATAAGATCACGTGGTAGCTAACTTCATGAAAACTGTTTTAATCCTCATTACCTACAGCATCAAGATTTCTTTAAGAAAGTTAAAATCTTAAGAAATATATACTTCTAAGGATACATCATAGGATGTATATCTAAGGATACATGTTCCTGTACTTTTCATGGGTTTAATCATGGGAGGTATGATAATTCCTCATAAAAGAGTAAGGACAGGTGATTCCTCTGTGTGTATATGTGGTTGTTTCGTCACTTACTCAGCTCTGTTGCAACAACATCTATTGTGTACATTTCTGTTTCTTCTCGATCCAAACGGGAAGCAGTGTATACCTGCCCAGTGATTGAATTAATTCTCAGCCATTTCTTCACATCACCTTCTAAGGAGTATCTTTCGAAAGAAACGGAAAAAAAAAATCACATACGCTATTCTGAAGTAGAAAAAGAATCTGACAAAGCAAACTGATTTTAGCCAAGCAGCTTGGTTACAATTGTACTCAAAGACAGGGTTCTTGGAAAAGTCACAGTACTACAGCCAAGCCGGAGATACAGAAGAAGAGAGGCCAAAATCATCCAGAATAAGAGTGAGAGTAGAAGCATGGAAATGCCACCACTACTCCATGTCACTCTCTCCTCATTGCATTTCCCATGCCTTGGTTTCGCTGGGGGCACAAGCCAAAGGCTTGGGGGGAAGAGGAAGCAGTGCAGCCAGACACCCTATTTTGGATCAGCCAGGGAACAGGATCCCCAGCTGGACTACAGTGGATATCTGCTGCCTGTCTGGAGAAGCTTGACAGAAGCAATTACTATTGCATAGCCTTGAAACAGAGTGTGCTTTAAACATCACCACATAATTGCCTTTATATCATTGTTTAAAAAAACACCAAGGTCTCTGGGTATTTACTTATACAAATTTAATCATGAATATGCCAGTTAAAGCACGGGCACTTGCTTGAGTAGAAGCAACCTGACCTTCTCACTCAAAGTTTTTGTTCTTTCGGTACCCCTTACATTAGAAACAGCATGCTAACATGCTTGTACATCTTCTACTTTTTATACTTTTTATTTTATGCTCTTTAATCTATTTTTTAGCACAAATGTGGTTTATGTATTTGTGAATATTTGTCATCTGTCTCTGTCATCATCCCCTGGAGCTTCTGGACTATGTGGCTCACTTTCAAACCAGTTTGACAGAAGGCCAAACGTGATAAGTTGCCAAAAGTTAGAGGAAAGTAGAAAGCCAGATGAGAAACCTCTGGGAATAAAAATCCACTGGAGGCCTAAGAGTTATATTCTACAACTCTATTAACTACTTGGTGGTTTGCTAAATTTTAGTTAAATTTCGATAACTATTTGTTGATTTGTTCAGCATTCCAGCTGAGAATGGTGCAGCAAGAGCCCCAGATAATTCTCCTATCTGACTCTACTGTGTAAGGTACATTTACACCATGCAACATGGCACAGGAATTGGCTTGTACAGAGCTTTGCATCAGCAGTAGAAGCAAGCTTATTATCTTTGACAGATGGGAAAGAAAACGAATTAATTGTTAACTGCAGACTTGAGGTTGTGTGTTTTGATGGAGTAAAGCCATGTGTGGTTTCCTGTGTGACATGAAGAGCAGCTACTCTCCTAGTGGTTCTTAAGGGTACGCAGTATATTCTTCATTCATTTGTTAAAGGCATTATGGATATGGAAAACCTGTTATTCTCAGACCAGCTCTGCCTTTTTCCTGGAGAAATATATTGGCCTTCTTCCCTAGTGGTTTTCTGTTTCAAGGGCCCCACCGGCTGATGCTTATCACAGTACAGAGAGAAATCTGGTCAGAAAAGCACTGTCCAGCAGGTGGGTCACTGGCCATCACCCCACCACACCTCTGCTTTCTACTAGGAAACAAGATTTCTGTAAAAAAAGTATTTTCCTGCATGCCAAATATTGGGCATATTTTCCTCGTACCTTCTTTAGAACAATTTTCAAAATACTAAATTCAATGAATTAATTACATCACACTTTTTTACCGTACAGAATCCCCCTCAGGATCATAGGCCTCCACAGTCATGACCAGGGTATTGACAGGAACGTCTTCAGACACTTCTTCTTGGTAAACTGGCTTGAGGAAAACAGGTGGCTCATCCTCATTTGTTAAGAAAACTTTAAACAGGGTAAGGGAACTTGAGTTGTACTGTACTCCTGGCACCAGCGGTTCGGGGTTTGTGGCATTGATCACCAGGTTGTACACTGGCTTTGTTTCAAAATCAAGAGCCTGGATTAGAAAAAGAAAAAGGTGCTTTAAGCAATGACCCTGCTGCCATGAAGAGCTTCAGTGAGAAACCACAAAGTCCCCCTCTTATCAAGGAGGAGATTGCATCCCAGATACAGACAAAACAAGGGAGAGCTGTCAGGAGAAAAATGACACTGAGAACAGTCAATTTAAATGAAACCATATGCCTGTTTAGGGGCCTCCTCAACAACTGCATTTTCTAATAATGTTGCCACCTGCCTAAGTTTAATAACTATATCCTGTTTACAGGACTAGTATTTATAGCTCTGTATGAGAAGGCCTCAAAGGAACTCTGGGTGCCAAAGGTCATGCAAGGGTTGTTACACTGCAGAGTTTCTCACAATTGCCTCCTTGGAAAAAAATGACACTGAGGTTGATCCTGAAGATGGTCCACCAAACGCTGCATCTGCCTGCCCTTGGCCTGGCCAGCAGCACATGAACTGGTTGCATACAACATGGTACCCCCCTTGGAAAATGAGCGATAAGTTTTCTGGACTCATAGTCCAAGCACCTTAAGAAGGCTAATTTCAAAGGGAGAGCAATTTTGCTATTGAAATTCGTGGACACAGCAAAAGCATTCTGCCGCGGTCCGAGAAGGGGGGAGGACCGTGGCACTACACAAGTCCGGGACATGAGGGTGGGGTGCAGGTAGAATGTATTTTTCACGTGTGCACTCCGTCTTTTGTCAGCTCGGGAGGGGAAAGGGCCAGAACACAAGGGTGGAGCATGAGACAGGCAAACAAGGGGACAAACCAAGGTAGGGACAGGGAAAAAAGGGGAGGAATGCAGGTGGAACCAGGGGAGGAAAGGGTGAACGGGGGCTGTCTCCTGTCTGCAGCTTCTCCAGCCAATCGGCAGAGAAACAGGGGAGCAGGGAGGCAAACAGGCCCGGATTTGCCCGGAAGACACAAACCCTGGGGGAACATACAATGTGTGTGTACATAATAACTATAAAGTCTGCATCATAAAGTCCGTTCAATCGCTGTACATATTTTTCCATTTCTGGAATCGTTCCCATTCCGATTATTGGTCCTTGACAGCATTCCTCATATTCATGTCTCCAGCATTCAGCATATGAACTGTATCACCCAATGCAGCACATGCTGACCTTGGCTTTGTTGCAGTCAATGTTTCCCTCAGCAGGAACAAACTGTCTCTCCATCCTGACATTGAGACTTGCTAGCCTCACTTTCACCTCCCATTGCAAAAGCCACCAATGGCCCAGAGCAACAGCAGGGAGGAGAACCTGCCCCATCACCACCCGCCACTACCACCATAGCCTATGGAAGCATTTAACTGGTTTTCTCTTTTCCTATGCAACTGCAAAATCACTCAAATGATGCAATTTTTTGTCTTTATGGTGCAAAAGGACCTACTTTGTTGGCCTTCGTTCTCTGCTGGAGAAGGAGCCAGCAGCTGAGCTGGTGAAGGGAGCTGCTGTTGATGGCTGGTGGTTAGGGGACAGCAAAGGCAGGAGGATAGGTGTGTGTGTGTGCCCACTTCACAGGTACAGTGCCTGACCCCAAGAGTGAAGCCTTCTGCAGTCTGCACCATGCTTAGAGTGTCCTCACCCCTCCACTAGCCAACACCACTCCCTGCAAATCATCACCAAGGCTGTTACTCTTTATGACAAATAAATAACAGTAAAGGAGAAGAATGAATCCATCTATTCACCTTGTTAATCTTCATGAACCCTCGGTTTGTTTTAGCATCTGTGTCTATGATGAATGTGTTGTTTGGATCTCCTTCGTGCACTTGGTAGATGATGAGGGAGCTCCCTGTGTCAGGCTCATCTCCATCGTGAGCTTGAATTTCTAATATCACAGTTCCTACTGGGACACTTTCTGCAATGGTCACGTTGTGATACTGAAGAGAGAGAGATCATTGAAACATGATACACCAAGCACCATCTGTGGACAAAAACTTGAGCACTACAACAAGTTTGCAACCCACAAACATGAATGTATTCTAACCCACACAAGTGAGGGACGGAAGTTTTTAGCCACACATTTGTCAAAAGTGATGGGATCTATGTTAGTGGGTAGACTACTAGTATAGTAACATTCACAATCCTTCACTTCCTCTGTTGTAACCACTTATGTGGTTCATGCAGTGCTCACAGAAGCATGGACAGCACAGTTCCTCAGTACCCCATGAGCACTCTGGCTACTCCCTGTTAAATATTTAATTGCTCTATGCACCACAGACTATGCACCACATTAGCATCTTAGCTCCATTGACTCTGATTGATGCCTGCCCTCATCCAGAAGCTTCATCTTGAGACCGGCTCCAGTACTGAGGCCTTGAGGCAAGGTGTACAACCTGCTATGTAGGCACCTAGTCTGCATGTGACTATTCTCCCATTGCCATCAACAGAGACCTGGGCAATGCAGTCAGCAAAGCCCCAAAAGCAACAAAGCTTTCCAAAAAGGACACCTACACTGGATGGGCCAGACAGCTGTCCTGAGCCCACTGCCTGCATTGCCTACAAGAATGGTGGGAGCTTGGACACCTAGATGTAGGCACTTCAGCCGCTTCAGTGTCTGCAAGGGAGGCTTGGGCCATCAGGCAGAAGTCACAAGAGGTCTGCAGTTCTCTCTGCCAGATGCCAGCACCTCCACCAGAGGAAAAGGCAAGAGCCTGATGCCCATTCTGGAACTGAGGGCCAGCAGGTATGTGTTTGGGCACAGATCACTGGACTACTATTCCTAGTCAAACCAAATAGGGCCTTTGATTTCCATCCACCTTCTGGCTGTTTTGGGTGCATTAATACTGTGTTTGGAAGGGAACTTAGGTGATGTTAGGTTTTTTCCAATTAGTTATTTAATTAATTTTAAAAGCTTTTCTTTCCCCCTTTTCTTTCAGAATTTACACTTCTGGAATAAATAATAAAATAATTTCTTTCTGTACATGTGGTTTTCCACTGAGCAAATCACCTTAAATTTGAGAATTAACTATGAGTGAGTCCCAGTGTTCACTGTTCAGATAGAGCCTATATACAGGCTTGCAGCAATACTCTGCCTTTATTTTCAGTAGTGGATTACTCTGTTACTTGTTCTGTAAATGGTTAGTTTCCCATTTACGTTCTACAGACATTGAACATACACTCAAACAATTGTCAAAAGCATCCAAAACAATGTTAAAAATACTCACATCTGATTTTTCAAAGATAGGAATTTGATCATTGATGTCAATGACATGTACTTCCACGTCACAGATTGTTTCAAATGCTGCATGGAAGAGACAAACAATGTCACAGCAGCCCCTCTGCCAAAAATAACTTTCCTCCAAAACGGTTCACTGTGAGCAAAAGTGAGCACTGTCAGATTGCCCAATCCAAGCAAAGTCCTGCCATTATAAGAAGCACTTGATCTCAAATACCTCTTGGTCACTGATGACCTCACTCTATCTTACCATTCACCTTTCCAATTTCTTGAGCATCGTCCCATCCTGCTTCATTTTATGTCCTTCACTTTTTAAACCATATCCCTTTACCAGGATGATGATAGCTGTGAATTGTGTTAGCTTTCTCAGTATCACTTTTGTGTGTCAAAAAGTGAGTCCTGGGTTGTTATGCTACCTTGTCCTGTTGGCAGGCCATCAGGCAGTACCCTCATTTTTGTTACAGCCAGACTTAAACTTCAAATCTGTATAAATCTAAGCACTACCTGAGCAGAAGGCATCCATAGCAAAGGAGGGTTGTGGGTTTAAAGCATAAAATGTCTGGTCATGTGCTGTTCATATGTAGCTGGATTTTAGTGTTTTACAGATGTGCTTCATGAGCTGAAAGTTAAGGAATATTCTAAGTAAACTCTTTGGATGAAATCTCAATAAGCATCCAAAACAAATCACCAGCTTTTCCCTCTGCAAGGTTTTCTATCTTCTGCCTAAATGATGCTATTTCATTTACAGACATGTCACACTTCTTTCTTTACATGCCAGTTCCTCCATCTATAAGTTTTGCTTAGCTATAAAGACTCCAGCACAAAGCTTTAAGCTTTAGCATGGCGTTCAGTTTCTTTTCCATTCAGTGAACCACAAACAACTCTTGGGAACTTACATAATGGACAAGATTCTTTTCAAAGTTTAATTTCAGCTCTTAATGTTCTCAAATACATTATCTGGACTGCTGAGCAGCTGTGTTTAATTTCTTGATTTTTTTTCAGTAAGTCCCTTTGAAAGATTTTGGGGGAAAATCACAATCATGATCTCTTCATTTTTTTTACCATGTGGAAGGAAATCTCTCACTGGAGAACTTATTAACAAGCTTCCCAATTTAGCCACACACTGACCTAGAGCTGTTTTCCTTTCATGCTTGCACTATGAATCATGATTAACTGCCCTGTGTCTCAAGAATGAGGCAAGTACCACACCAGAACAAGATAGTTTTCAATGCTACTGCCCGTGCAGTGAATCTTCCGTGTCTCTTCTTACATCCCTTGGACACTGAGCATGGGGGATGCTAGTGTCAACAGAGCTGTTCCAGTGTTTAACAGCAGGCATTACATACCTCCATCTGTCACCAGCACCTCCAATGAATAGTTGGATGCATAGAACTTGCTTAAGGAACGACCAGTTAACTGCAAAACCCCGGTGTCTTGCTGAACATAGAACAAATTGCTTGTGGGAACTTCAGGAACCTGACTTTTGATTTTGAACCGCAGGCGAGAGTTAAGGGTGTTCTCCTCATCCATGTCTGTAGCAAACAGGGTGCCAATATTGCTTCCTGTGGCAGAGTAGACACCAGAGTCAGGCAGATAATGCAGTGGTCCTGTTTCTCCACAGAGGTATACACTGGCAACAGTGATACCAATGCAAAGAGTAGAGGGTCAGTAAAAATAAAACTGCATGGAAAACATTGTGACAGACACAATAATTTCACTTCTGGGAGTTTTTCTTTTAACATCTCAACCTACTGTTTTAGGGTTGGGGCAGTCCAGAAGGACTGGGCCACGTATTTTGATCAGAAGAAGTGGCTATAACAACAGGCACTTCAGTCCTGAAACCAAATAACTGATGTGAAGATTTAGGGACAGATTTGGGTAATGGTCCACTGAAGTCAAAGTCATTGGGGAGTATCTGGACAAGGGAAAATGGTCTCATACCCCTTTTAGAGCATTATTTCTTGTATTAGTAATAAAAGGGGTGTTTTTCTTTTTACACTCTAAGCAGTTGTCCAAAACTGTGACTGTGAGAAAATGCAATTTTATGTTTTAAATGGAACAGCATTTTTGTAGTAGGTGTCTTGGGTCTGCTCCTCTCAGGTTATTGAAATCCTTTCCACACAAAAACAACAGGGTTATTTGCACGGAAAAACATTTGTCTAGGAGACCTACATTTTACTCTTTGGGATCAGAATTTCTACCTTCATTTGCACTCAGCTGGAAACAATAACAGGACTAGAATGATGTGTATAAATTAATAGAAGCTGTTTTCTTACCTCCAACTTCATTTTCTTGAACTTCAATTACAGTGAGGGCCTGCTTGCACACAGGGGGATTGTCATTAATGTCTTCCACAATAACATGAATTTGCAAAGGCTTGTCCGTCAATTCTCCCTGGTTATCTTTTGCGACCACAAAGAACGTATACTGCAATAAGAATAGCATGATTAGATTTTTTTTTTTTTTAATGTCCACTGTGATGATATTTTACATTTAAATATGTAACTAGAGAAGCGTTCCATGCAAATAAAGTGTCCTCTCATAAGTGTGTTCAGTATTTTCATTCTGTCAGAACTCTTCCATTACCTCTCAGTGCCTGAGGTCTGAGTTCTCAAAAGAATTTAAAATTCCTTGACTGCACTCTGGCCCTGCTCTTGCAAAAATTCAAGAAAAGCAGGAATAACTCCTTTTTGTCGCTTTGCAAATTCATCTGCTACACCTGGAGGTAGAATTTCTCCAGCATATCGATCTCTGGCCTATTCTGTGCCCAAATTTCCTCCAAGAACAAAAGGGAACAGAGGGTTTTCTGTCTAAAAGACCTCCAGATGGGAAACTTCAAGGTAACTTTACAGTTGCAATTCAAAGTTAAACTCTGCTTCTGGTGTGGAGAGATCTCTGAGGCTCCTGGGGTCTGAAGCAGTTCTGAAACATCCGAATCTTCTGCCCTCCACAAATGCCACCACCTATCTCTTGCTTATGCACCTACAATCCTGCCATAGGTGATCCATGTTGTACATTGTATACATGCTGTAGGCAGTGATTGCTACCGCCAGCTCAGTGGCAGGGTAACAACCTGAAGGCTGTTTACAATGTTGCACTTTCATATATATCAAGTCATTCCCAAACAGAAGTGGCAAGAAACAAAGCTTTTATTCATTTTTCCCCCTCTGTCCTTTCTATTGAGCTTTCTCATATTTACTCCCACACCAATAATCACTTTCCAGCTATGGTCTCTCGCATCAGTGAGGTTTTATGTGTTTACTTACAGTATCCTTTTCTTCCCTGTCCAGTGGCTTGGTCACATAAATAACCCCATCCTGACTGATGGAAAACGGGAGCCTGGGCAGCTTTTCTTTTTCAAAAATGTCATAAGTTACATTTGGCTCATTTGACTGCACCTAAAAGAAACCAAAAAAATAAGTCAGGATACGAAGTCAGAAGTGCAGACTGAGATTTAACAGGGATCATTTCTGGACCACAAACAGAAAAGATTGCATTCCTGTTAGTTTCATAAGCCAGAAAAATAACATTTTGGCAGGCTCCTGGGATGAACTGCAGAAAATCAGACTGATAATCCACCTCTGCTCTCTGAATTGTGTGGTGAAGCCATTGTACCCCAGTCTCTCCAGCCGTCCAGATAGGCTACAACACTTATTTTTTTATGGAAGGGTTTTGTGATATGGACCTAAATTGACACTAATTTATTCCATCTCCTTACACTGGCTCTTCCTGCCTGTTGTTTTGGTTTATGTAATTCAGAGAAGTGAAACAACAAAACAATTATCTGGTACCTATCTGCACATAGGTGTGTGCACACTCTTTGCATGCATCAAAGTCTGCGATGAAGAATCTTGACTGGGGTGCTGCAGATTTAAAATTAAATAAGTACACAGACTGTCAAATTAATGAAGGACTCAGTATTACTGTTTATGTTTCATACTATAAAGCAGCAACTGCATTTCATTTTTCCCTGGGCAGAATCAACATGTCATTGGCTGCCACATGAAATTTGTATACAAGTGACCCCAGAAAGGATGCACCATTGCATGGTAATCTTTCTTCCACGTGTTTTCACTCTGGACTTCCTTGGTCTGTCACTGAGACTAGTGAGAACAGCATCGAGTCGATTACTCTTGCAAACAGGACCCAGGGAATCCTGCCATGTTCGAGGGATGACGGCATTGAGGGTGTCAGTGCCAAGGCATTTTTCAAAGACAAATACTTCAGAAAGGCTCTTGGCCTGTTAGTTAATATGTACTGATTGTATGCATTGCTATTGGTCTGCAGTTATCAGCAAAATATTTTGTGTTTGCACTGTGAAAAGAGGAATACCATGGGAATGCAGGATGTGAAGGAGGATGTTTCAGTCCTCCCTAGGTACTTTTGATGTAGAAGGTGTGCTGCATGATACAAAACTGGTCACATAAGCTGTCCCTGATTGCGGGGGACTGCCCACAGCAGGGCTGTTATGGAGCTTCTCCCCTGCCAAGCTCTTCTGCAGCTGGAAGAATCTAACCTGAAAAATAACCTTCAACAGACTAACTCTTGATTTGCCCAAAGCCTGGAGGACCCATGACTGGACTTTGCATCTAAATTGAAGGGCAAAGTCCAATCACTCTAATGTTTGTATTGACTGTACCTCGGTCACCTTCAAATTGTTAACTTTCCTACTAAAAATAAGTCAATGAGACCTGCACTAACAATCATTTCCAAAGGATACCATATGAAAAATAACTGGGAGGTGTTGAAGTCCTTCTGAAGAGCCCAATGTTGAATGCAGTGGGGGAATCTTCCCAGTTAGCTGGGAGGAAACAACTCTGTGGCACCAAGAAGTGCAGGGAGTGTGGCCAAGGAGCCTACCTGGCTGATGTTGACAGGATGGACCTGGGTAGAGTTTTCTTGGATGCGGATGGTGGCGGGAGCTTTCCACAGGCTCTCCTTCACATGGATGATCACATCGGCACTGCTGGTGAAAGCATTTGTTGACATTCCTGCCATGTCCTTCACGGAAACAACAAGTGTGAAGGTGTCCTGCTTTTGAGGATCTAAGTAATAAGAGCCTAGAGACAGAGCAAAGAGCCAAGTGAAACGATGCAGAGGCTGTAGGGATGTTTCATCTCCCCGTTGCCTCCTTCATGCACTGTTTCTTTATTTGCTTCAGACTCACTCCTTAGATGGTCCTCTGTGACAAATCTCAGCAAGCAGTTTCTCTGAATGACGCAGCACGGCATCATGTAGATGTAATCCTATGAGACCTCTGTGCTGTGGTCTCATATTGTGCGGATGCCCTCACCCCAGTTAAGCACTTGTTCAGCCCAGCAGAAGAGACAGGCATTTCTAAATCATTGCAATTTAGTTGGGATCACATGGCTGGCTGAGTTTCCTCTGCATTTTTCATGTTACTGCTTTTGGTTCTCTAGATTTCAAGGAAGAGAATTAATCCCAAAATATGACGTACTGTAGTCCTGTGAGCCAGAGGATCTATTTCTCTTCTCAGTGTACTTTTAGATCCCAATACATTTCTGCTAACTTCTCTTGGATTTGGTGGGACACAAAACAAGTTCCCCAAAACCAGGGGCTCAGTGGAGTATGTCCCACTGACTACATTTATTCAGAATGTAACATCAGACCTGTGTTGTTTTGTTCCTATGTACACCCTGGAACTCATACTTGCTCTTTGAAAACAAGAATCTTTTTACATACCCGTCCTACTCGGTGAGATGGCTCCTGTTACATTATCAATCTGGAAAAGCATTTCTTTATAAGGGTTGGGAAAATGATGGAGAATGCTGTACGTCAGCTGTGCATGGGGAGTTGCAGGATTATCGCGGTCAGTGGCATGGACATACATGAAGGGTTTGCCTATTTGGATTAGAGAAGAAAAAGTGGTAAGAGAAGAGACTGAAAGCTCAACATATAGTCCATTCAAGGCAGAGCTCTCAAGCCAGAAAGGTAGCTTATGGGGAAGTGCCATTGATTCATATTTCATCTCTCATGGGAAGCCATGACTGTGTGTAGAGATCACACTGACTGTATGTCATCCCACAGGTCCTCTCCTCCCATCTCCACCAGTTGGATCACAATAGATGTGAAGACCAGTAGATGAAGAAGGTGACAGAGTTAAATCAGCAGAGAGTTATCTACCACATAAGAGTGCCTGAACCCAGAATGCAGCTCACTGGTATCTCTCTTTTAAGGACACTTTGCAGTTCTTACACAAATCAGTTCAACCCAAAGCACCTCAATAAAAGTGACCTACAGTTGTGACACAGTTTTAATTAAAGGAACAATTATACAGTGAAAAAATATAGAAATACATGGTAATGTAACTCAAATTTTACCTTTCGAGCACCAATGTAAATTTCAAAATATTTCTGACTTGGATGCAGTTAAGAATACAGTAATATATTTCAGAATGATTTTCTGACCCCACAGAGATTTATATGCATATTCTTTAGTGAAAGTTTCTTCTTGTGTCTATAGTCACAGTGATAACAGCAGTATGAGTCTTTTGTTTCATTTCCAAGATGAAACTGCTCTTTGATATTTTCCTGACTTATGGACTGGATCACTGCAATCCATAATCTAAGACTCTCTTCTAAATACTAAGGTTCAGTCCATGTTCTGAGAAGCATCAGTTACAGAAAACACGTACCCCATATGTACCCTGGCATTTTATTTTGCTGATGTGCAAAGAGTTACATATTTCTAGCATTCTCTTTCTGTGTAGTCTTTGGCAACCTTTAAACTTTAAACTCCTTCTAGCAGAGGAGGTTTTTTCAGTGCAATGGAGAAACCAGTCATATTTGCCTGCTAAGTGATACTTGCAAAGCAATAAGAACTATGAAATATTTTTGATTACACTCATCTCTTTGCACTACATAGTGGTGACCTCTTTGCCTTTTTATCATATTTATACAGGTTTTCATCCTTATTTTGTACAGTCCTGTGGGAAGGAAAACCAGTGATTTTGTAACTTGTTGAAATATAGCACCCACTTTATCTTCCTGTTTAATTTACCTACCTTCCTATAAACTATAATATTTAATTATTAAGATAATTACCTGGACGAGAGTTCTGCCTCACTACTCCAGCATATGTTATCTGGTCAAATTCTGGTGGGTTGTCATTGATGTCCTCCACATATATTGTAACAGCATATGGACCTTTCACTACATTTCCATTTACATCCAGACTTTCCACCTGATTTCAAAAAATAAGCAACAGCAAGGAAATATTTTCATGTAGGTAAATTAAAAGTCATAAATTAACATAAGGATGTCAAATGTCAAGTCATCCCTATTGTGACACAGGTCTGGTGAGAGTCATCACTGGGTAGCTCCCTCTACAAGGACAAATTTGCCACTGTAGCTCACCGGTAATAATTTGCCACAGTATATAATGCCAACAAAACAAAAGAACCCACTCGTGCTTCTGATGGCACTTTTCAGAGGATAATTTCTCACTTCCAGGCTCAGTAGACAACTTGTATTTTTGCACAGCTCAGAATTTATGTCTTTCTTTAAACAGAAACATATACTTCCTAAAGAACAAGTAGAAAACTCAACATGATATAGCATTTATAAATAATTGCTATTATAAATATCAACCAGGTAAATAGGCTGATCTAAAGGTTAGTAAAGAAAAATTAATTCTTATTTTTAATGACTTTTTTTCCAACAATTTGGCTTCTTATTCTCCAACATTCTTTGACTTTAAAGCACCAAGTATATACTGCATCTGTCAGACTTTATTTTATTTGCACATAGTAGACAAAATCATGATTATTTATGCCTAAACAAGCATAATTTTTTAGTTCTGTCATCACTTCTTGTCTATAAATGATTCACATGCTTAGGATTAATGTCTGGAGTTAGAAAATTGTCCTCTCTAATTCCAATCCAAGGGTGCTTTAGAGCTGAGAACTTGAAACCATTAAACCCGAAGTGTTGGACTTCAGAAAGATAGTTAAGGTTAGCTAAAAAATCATCATGTACTTTGTCTGTTCAGATACTGATCCTCTCATGGTCATTTCCTTCTCAGCTGCTAGTGCCTCAGAAAAAAACACCACCATTTTTGACATAGAATAACAGCACAAGGCTATACTGAGGCCAAAAGACTGCCTATCCACTGTCCCACACCCAACAGTGTTTACAATGAGATCCTTATGAAAAGGGTACAATAGCAGGACAAGCACACAAAGCTTTTTCCTTTAATAAACTCCAACACGTGCAAAACAGCTTTCTGCTGTTATCTAACATAGGTTAGATCTGTATCTCTCTGTCTAAATGTCTTTTACTCACACAATTTGTTACCATGCAGATTATAGCCTTCCTAAATAGAGTACAATAGTTTATTTTCCCACTCCAGACATGGAATTCACCCTATCAGTCTTCAGGGATAACAAACAAAACTCATTCATGAGGCCAGATTTCACTTCCAGTCAAGTATTCCCATATTTTAAGAGAGTTAAAGGACTGGTGTTGGTATCAGGATAATTTTTGTTTTCTCAACACAGCTTTGCTCCGCTAAGGAGCATTTTCCTGTGCAGCCTTTCAGAACTATGAAACCATGTGTCTTCCAGCAAAGCTCAATGTTAAAAGTGAAAATACTGTCTGTAAACATAGACAAAATAAAGAATTGGAAATTTCAACAGTTTTCTATTTATTTCAGGTTTACCAAAAGAGAGCGAATTTACTCTCTGATTTTCATTGAGTCTTTACCTGCAGCCAGTGCACGGGTTTGGTCTCCCAATCCAGAGACCCATTGAGATACAGGATGCCCTTCTCCGGCGCAATGTCTATTATTCCATCTTTATCACCAGACAATCTGAATGTCACAGCAGGTGGCTCAGATGTGAACTAAAATGGAAGAAAATCAGAGGGAAAATCATCCTTTTTCAACGTTTTCACCATAATAAAAATCATTCCATGCTTTTGTGACTTTTAAAATCTATTGCCAGAAGTGTGTTTGGCTGGGAGAATGATATTCTGAGAGTCTGCTCGAACAAATCTGCTCTTTTCTGATCCTCAACAGAGGAATTTTCACATTATTTCCTTAATGCTGCAAGAAATCCCAACTGTAGTTTGTTTCCAAAGCAAACGTATGCTTAGGACAGGGTTTTGTCTGAGCACGGGAATGGAAAAATGTGACACACATTCTCCATTTGCCTAGAAGCTGGATCTGTCCTCTGGTTATGGCTTTGGGAAGAAGAAAACCTCAGAGTCAAAGGAAAATTATGACACAAGTTACATGGAAACCCATTCCCTAGGAATGCTGATTTTATTAATCCCTGTCTTAGGATATCCTCTCAAAAATGTGTTTCATAGAGGGGGTTGTCTCCTGTTGTTTGCATGTAGACTCTCGAATTCCCAGAGAGAGGAATTAAAAATTAATTTCAGATCCTCTTGGGGGATTGTTCTTCCCACCAACACAGATGACGACACTCTATATGTGGTCTCTGAGTGCAGGCTATGGGGGTTTTGACCAGAGTGGATAACAAGAGACACTTGATTACCTGGTAAAGGATGCGCACACCCCCTCCTTCTGGAATAGAGAAATTCATGTCCTTCAGAGGCCCAGTTACATGAAGGTCCCCCAGATTAAGGCACATAGCCTGTGAGAGAGAGAGAAAAGAATAGAGGAAAACAGCTGAGGGTTGTCTGCTGTCACCATGCACAAACAGCAGCTTTCCATTACTGAGCTTCTTGCGAGTTATTTTGCTATAGTATAACAGCAGAGATTCTTACTGGTTTGCACTGAACATCTCCAGGTTCTTTAGTGCACATCCATATTTAAAAGCAGTGTTATTTATTAATTAATTTGAGAACAAACACCTGCCCCCTGCCCTTTTCTAACTACTACATAATTAAATGAGATTTGATCTACCTTCAACAGCAAACAGAAGCAGCAGAGATGAATGTAGACTGAGACCAAAAGAAAGTTTAGAAAATCGTTGCTGTATCACCTCTGTGTCCCCAGCAGGACCATCTATGTCCCATCTAGGGTCCCATCTAGGAGTCAAAAAGTCTTGTGGCAACTAATGTGTCTGGAGGCCAAATGCCACACCTGGGGATGGGGAGGAACAGGGACTGCACCCCTCATAATTTCCTCAGTAATTCAAATCTTTTTTTGTAAGGGAACAAGGTGGACCTCTCTGGGTCCCCTACCTCATCACCCTCAGTGCCATAGCCATCTGGACCAGTCACTGGAGCCCTGTGCCTTCACATCAGTTGCATATGAGTGCAAGCCACAGACAGAGCAAACATGTCCTCCTGATCTTTGTCTTCTACCTGATGGCAAAAATGCCATATGGTTCTGTCTCAGCCTCTGTCTTTTTCTTAATGTCTGGCAATATCTTCACATCATGTTTTTTTCTGCTGATTTTTTAATGAGTGTTATAACCACCACTTCCTAGCGCCCCAAGACCTCCAGACACACTTCTGCCCTAATGTTTCAGGGCTGTTCCTTTTTTCAAACAAAAAAGGTAAAGTGAAAATGAGCCTCCAAGGGCAGCCCTTGCACACAAGACAATTCAGGTGTGGTTCAGATAATCTACCTGTTTCTCCAAAAGCAAGACCAAACTCCCTTGAATACCTACTCTTCACTCCCTGTCTTGCCAATGCTGAGAATCTGCCTGCCAGAATTAGGGCTCCATCATTTGGCTGCACAGGTAAAATTCCCTTTCTTCCAGAGTAAAAATTACTTTATTATGCTTTACACATTTAGAGTCCCAGCGCCACCCTGTCCAACAGCCCATGGAGTTGAGCTCTGGGAGTGCGTGTTCTCTGCTGCATGACTTTTCCCCTGGATTTTGTCCTATTGCTGCTGGGACAGCTATTCAACCTCTCGCAGAAAAGCACAGTCTACATACTACCAAGGGAAAACTTAATTCTGCCTATGAAAAAAACATAGCTAAATTCAGCACAATTTACCCTAAAGCACTGCTCTCTGTGTGTGTGTCACAAGTGGTGTTCCAATAAAGCCAGATTCTCCTTAATAATAGCCAGAGATGTTGCCTTCCTTGTCCTTTGCCAACAAGAAAAGCAGAGTATTGTGAGAGATGGGGAAGGAGGGGGAAGGATGCTAGTGAATTCTAGTGTCAAAAGAAAAATATGAAAAAAAGCTATCTAATAGTTACACATCCAGGAAAGAGTAGTTACAGCTTCCTTTTACTGTTTCTGCTAAATGCCGACTGCTGGTCTCTGCCACAGACATGATAACAGGGACCCTGAATCTGACCTGCTAAGGCTGTTCCCATGTCACAGAAGTGAGCACAGCCTGGAGGCGTTTCTCAGGGTCATTTTGTGGACAGATTTTGCTTGATCCTGTTCCTTGCCATGAAGGAACAAAGGCTGATGCTATAAAACCCAACGAGTTCAAAGTGCAGTCTGTGAAGCAAGTAAGAGATATCACCTCTCTCGATTAAAACTACTTTATGTGGACCATAAATATTTTCAAACTTATGTCTATAACATGAATCACTACTCAGGAGTGAAAGGGAAAAGACACTTTACTCCTTGGTCCATATCCAGTGGCATCCCTTCTGAAGATGGCTATAATGCCTGCGGAGTGGCTGCATGGGGGGGTCAGCACTGCCATGGGCAGCAGCTTTTGCAATAAGAAGGAAAAAGGAGGTGCTCACTGCGGCACATCAGTCTTACCCCTCAGGGTGTCCATATTCTAAGGCATTTTTTACTGAACTTGAATTTTACTCTTTTTTTAAACTTTTTCTGTTAATTTCAATTGTGAAGCAGAAGCCACCACTGCTGTAGCCTTTACAAACATCATTAAATCTATTGAATTTAATACATGAGGTCCATAAATAACATAATTAATATATTTCAGTTCCAGAAAATCCTCTGAAAAGGGATTCACATAGACAGAATAATGAGGATACATAATTAATGTGCACAGTTTAAACTATGTGCCATTATAAGTCTTAGAATACATTTAATATGTCATCACACGTATGGATTATAATACAGAACACATGATACAGATGTCTTCACTGTTTGGTGATTTATTCCAGTATTTTTAAATCTTTTCAAGTATGAAATCCAGTTACTGGAAACAGTGATATCTAAAGATGAAGCACAAGAGGCAAAATAGGTAAATTGGTGCCTTTCGGGCTTTTTAAAGTTTTTTTCTTAATGATTGAGATGTCTTCTTAGCTTTCGGCCGTGAGATTGCACACACATTTTGGGGCCCCCCTCCCACACCCAGAGTTACAGGCCCTCTGCTGGCACAACTGCCAGCCTAACCTGCAGGCTGGCATACCCCATGGATTAGAGTTCAGAGGCTCACAGGTAACCTTTGCCATTTGCTCCAGATAAACAAAGAAAACCTGTAACTCACCGAGTGAATGACAAGCAGAAATTGAAGTCCACACAGCTTAAGCATACTGGAATATGCTTTGCTTCAGGTCCTACAAAGAAGAGATGACAGTCACTTTAACGTCATAGAGTTGGCCCAGTCTATTTGCAAACTAAGGCAACAGCTGAGCTTTCCTGAAGCTGCAGGAAGAGAGCTGAGGAGTGAGCTCTGAAGGACCAGGGGCAGCTCTGCCCATGGGAGGCGAGATCGCTGGTGTTCCAGGCTGTCCAAGAAGCCTGTGCCCATCAGACCTGTGCTCAATTGTGCAAGAGGTGCCACATGTTGTGAGAGCCCCAAAGAGCTGTCAGAGATTGAACCCAGTACACAAATTTAAGCCATGCAACCTCATTGTTACAATGATTCTGTCACGCAAGCTCCATTTTCGTTTCCCCTTTGCTGACCACAACAACATGTTCACAGGAAAAACACAACCACAATAAGATGAAAGTCTTTCAGGGACCACTCTTAAGGTATCTGTCTTCTGGTTCCTAAAAAACAACTGTTTGCTTCAACTTGCAGATGCAGAGGAAGCCTGAGGTTATCTGCATCCCTTAAAACAACACAGTTACTGGAAATGAAATTTCCAAGTCCAAGGAGCATTTGTCTGCCTCAAATTTCAGAGAAATGCTGATCACACACTTCCATGACTTGTGTTACATCCTCCTGAAAACTTGATGGGTTTCTCACAATGAAATCCTACTTTCTCACTACTTCTAGATTTTAACAAAGAAGAAGAGGCTGTTTCTGAAGAAAGGTGAAGCTGATGTACTGTGCTGCCATCTTCAGTGGTGCTCCATGCTATGTGGCTCACACCTACAGGTATTGGGGGAGTAGGTTGCTTCAGTTGAATACAGCATTTTCCTAATAATGCCAAGGTCGAGGGTTCAATCCCCATACAAGGCCATTCACTTAAGAGTTGGGCTTGATGATCTTTGTGGGTCCCTTCCAAATCAGAATATTCTGTGAATATCCTTCAGCCACCACAGCTCTGTCCCACGGAGCCTCCCAGGGAGAAGAACACAGTGTGGAGGCACAGCTACCTTCAGACACCTTTCTGCTTGGGCTTCCCATCATGCTGTTTTCTTCCCCCTCCTTTTCTTTCCTCAGTGGCTGACCCAAAAGGGGACCTGTACATATAGAAACCACTGCCCACATCGCTGTTCTCTCTAGCACTCATTCTAGGACATGCTACAGGACTTTATCTTCGAGATCCCGTTCTAAGCAGGGTTATATATGTGTGCAATTACACCCTTTGAAATTGCTAGGCTCTTTCCTTGGGCTAGAGCGAAATGTGTGAGTACTGGAAGAAAATAATATGACACTCCTTTGAAAATGGAAGTGACCAGGAAAATCATTAAATTTATCAGGAAACGAATGCTGAAGTTGAGCTCCCTGTAGCTGCCTGGCAGGGATGCCTGTCGAGCAGGTCCCTCACTGCCCTCCTGAAGCCAGAGGAGGTGGCACAGGCAGGGCAGAGAGAAGGAGAAGACACTTTGAAGTCCCTGGAAGGACACTTTGAGCCAGGACTGCTGCTGATATTTCAGTTAGATAGTCAATGAAAATTCTTTCAATTTCTCTGCCTGTACAACAGCCTCTCCACTCCCCTCCTGTTGCTCTCTTCTGAACACATTGGCCAGTTTCAGCTGCACTTAATAGCAAAAAACTCATTCGTTACTAATTTGGGGAGCCAGGTGGGACAGAGGACAAAGGCGTAAGGCTGCATTTTGTGCCCAGCGTGTGCCTGGCAAGGGAAGCACAGCTGTACATGCCCCTTGGCCAGCCAGCAGTGGAGGGACACCAGGAAGCTAAAAGTACTGGCGGAGGCCAGCAGGGGATAGGAGAAAAGGGTATGGGGTGGTCTGGGATACCATGGTCTGCATTAAGGGAGAAGAGAAGGAGCAAGGCCTACTATGGAGAGGAGAAAGTTTGAGGAAGGGACACATGCAGCCTTACTAGAGGGGTCAGAAAATGCTGGAAAATGCACTCCTTCATGTGGCTGCCCTGCAGCACTGTGTCACAGCCGGGCTCTTCTGTCCAGATCCAACTATGAAATGCAACAGTGGAAATACAGCCATTTCATAGTTTGCATGATAAGTGCCTTTGCTGTTTCCTTCTCTTTGAACATAAACATCCTTTCCTTATGTCATGCCATTTGAAGTGCCTGAAGATTAGCCCTTGAACATTAATTTTTGGCTGGAAACTCTTACCAAGTCTCATGAAGCATTGCCCTGCCAAGGACCAAAGACCCAAATGCATACTGCTCTGTCACTCATAATAGAGTTTCAGTATATATAGATTCATACAAAAGTTTTCAGTAATAGGCAGTTTCAGAATTAGAATAATATCAGCTTAACTAAATGCAGCCTGGAGTTTGGCTGAGGATTGGAGCTATATTTTCTCCTCCATTTCTTAGCTTCATCTCAGTACTATATCCCTAATAATTCCTTATGGTTCTCATGACTGAACAGAAATCTCTAGGATAACCATCATAGAAACATCCCAGTGACTTTCAATAATAAACATTCAGAGAACAAAGAATATTCCCCGAGGTTAAAGAATCAGTAACAGTCACAAGTATTTGGTTCCATGGAAAAAAATACTATTTTCTTTAGTTGATGGATTTCAGATGTTCAAATTCAGCAAAGAGAAAACAGAGGAAATCGATCCAAATCAAATACAAACCAGACTAAGCCTTAGCACAGCAGTCATCCATTTCACAGGGACAACTGAGTTCCTAACGCTGTCTGAAAATCCTTTAACAAAACCCTTGTTTCAGCTTTTAAAATCTTTCTGTTAAGTAGCAGTTAGATCATCCCTTACCTGCGACATGAAAAGCTTATTTTGTTCTAAAAATGCTTCTTTCTTTCAGCTGTGGGAATCACCTTTGCACAGGTTGGCAGTGTCTGTCTGTGCTTATCCACACAGTTTATAGTTCTTCGGACTTGCCTATAGAGATTCCGCAGCTCAAACATTAACTGCATGGAGAATTATTGATACTAATGACTAGGTGTGGTATGAAACAGCAGCCCTGTAAGGAAGCAGTGTAGCTCCAAGACAATTTACAGCCTTCAATACTTTTAAGTCCTTTGCAATTTTCTTTCTGAAGTAATTATTTTCAGTGGGGCTGTGAGAAATGAACACTCAGGGCATGGGTTGGAGCTCCAGTGGGTAAGTTAGCCTTTCTGTAGAAGAGGAGGTGGACCGGACAGGGCATGGGCCTTGGTTGGAGAACATGTTTGCTGCTTTCCCAGCTACAGAAATAATTTGTGTTCAGAAGACAATAATTTGGACATAAAGGTGGCTTGTTTTCACAGCAGATCTGTGCATGGGGAGAAACCAGCCTAATTTGCTAGTTCTCAACTCAAAAAGTTCAAATTCTGTCTGAGCTCAACCACAGATTTACTTCAGGTAGCTTTGGGCAAATCACTCCATTTGCCCTTTTCTAGACACCCATCTCATAGTAGATGTAATCCTTCCTTTATCTCAAGTGTCATCTTTCATGTCTCTTTAGGTTTACAGCCTTTCAAGAGAACCAGTCCCCACTAGTTTCTGTATTTTGACACCTGCAGTAAAGGGAACTGAAATCAGCTGGCCCATGAAGAGCTATGGTAAAACAAATAAAAAATAAAATATATTTGGTAAGAAAACATTTGTGCAGCACATTATTTTCTGAATTATGCATCTAAAGAAAGAAGTGTTTAAAATCCATTGCAGCTCAAAGGTGTACAGTTCTGGGGAAAGTTAAGCTTTCTGTTTTTTGTTTCAGATCACCCTTTTCCCTCGAAATCAGTGTTTGTTTCTCCAGGAAAACACTTCTAGGCTGTGCTTTCAACAAGTTTTCAAAGACAACTGTTCTCCATTTGCTCATGCAGTCAGAATGATTCAGACTTTCTCAAAGCTGTCTGCTAGCAGTCTGCTAGCTCTTTAGAGCACAGTTCAAAACCAGTATCAAATAAAGCATTAAAACTCATTGTTAATGATTCTAAGTAAATATAATAAGGGGAGGGAATTGAACTTTCTTGGAAATATGTTGATTTTAAGTACATACACATAGAATAATTGTGTGCTAGTTGAATATGAATGAGCAGTACTTTCAACATGGAGTATTAGTTTCAAAATAGCAAGAATTCGCAGCAGCAAAATCAAATTAACTTTCACAAATTCCTAATGTCATTTTAGCCCTCCTTTACATGACAAGTGCAGAATAATTCAAGTCAGTATGTCAGAAGTCAGAGCCATATGAACGAGTCTCACATTTGTCTTTCACATAGTAGTATCTCTGCTCGCAAGTCCAATTATTAGGAAGTGCAGTGTATTATTTGAAATGCAAATATAGAAATGTAAGGTACCTAATATGCTTCATTGAATGCCTCTATTTTTTAAAGTCACTGGAAGACGTGAGGCTTCTCATACCCAGTATCTTTCTCTGGTTGAAATAGTTTTCCAGGCACAGAGCAACTGCTTACAGGTTGCAACCATACAGGAAAAAAAACCCTCCCATGTCAAATTCATTACAAAGTCCAGAAACACTTAAGGCTTTACAACAGTCATAACAGGGTGCCACAGATAAAATCATGAGAACAAACTCAGCAGTGTGACTGGTTCCTTGAGCCAGCTATTTCTCTGAGTAAATCCAAAGAAGAAAAGGCAAATGTCCAGGTGTTCATTGTGTGAATCATTGTTCAGTGAGTTGGTTTTTCCAGGAACAACTCTTCTCATATCATTAGTCACATCCTTTTCACTCTTCCCATTTATCAGGTCTGTCATTTCTCCCTTACTCCTTTTTCATTTTTTCTTTTTGGCTTTTCCTGGTTTCAGTTCAGCTGATGTCTCTCCACGTACCTGATGCTACAATAAATCCACACCAGAGCTTGGGCAGAGATCTCCCAAGCTCATTTCATTCATAGTTAGGTGTGGTCAACCTCAAAGCAGGAGGAAGTTGAATCAGCAGCACACCTGACTCTGATGAACAGCACACCTTGACCTTCATTCCCAGAGAATCTCCTTGAAGAGCTTGGTCAGCCCCATCCCTTCAGAAGTTGCCTCAC